TCCGGCCAGGGCGGGTCATGGAGGCAGAGCCCCACGGCGGCATCGGCAGCAGGGGTGGCCCAGCGCGAACGACGACAGAGGAGGCGCCTAGGAGGGGCAGCGCCGTGGAGCAATAGGTCCAGCGCGGGGCTGAGGGGCACGCACGCACTCGCGAGTTGGGGAAAAGGGGCCAGCAACGGGCGGGCATGACAACGGGCGCCTCGGGTGCGCAAAAGCGAGAGTGGTAGAGGCATTAAAGCATGCCCGCGTGCGGCCACATGCACATAGCAGCGCGATGTCGTGATGCAGCAGGCTACGCGATGGCATCGAGCATGGCTTGGTAGGTGGTTCGTGCGGTGGGCGGAGCACCACGTCGGCCAGACGGCTAGCAGGCAGTGCACGCGGCGACCGCAGGCCGAGCCGTTCGACGGTGAGTAGTGATGCGCACAAATTTAAAAGCTAAGCAAGTGCTGCGATTGATCGCAATTGAGGCCCAAGGAAGTCCTCCAATCTCAAGTCCACACTATCGTCTATCAAACCAAGCAATAGAACAAAACATCAGGCGTTATTTAACTATTTTTGCATTTATAAATCGCCAAAAAGTATACTTTCAACACAACTTCAAATTTTTGCCGATTCAACGAAAAGGGCTAATTTTAATTTCCAATTCGATTTTTGAGCTGGCAAAAACCCTAGTTAACAATATTAGTTTTCCAAAACCAAAGTTGCATTTTCATCTACTAAACTTGCACTTCAAATTTTATTTAAGTACCAATTACAAGTTATATTTTATTTTTGTTTATAAAAATTGTTTTTCATGCTTAATCAAATAAACAAGCCATTCACCATTTATTTGCTTGTTTTATTCACGGAAGCGAGTCACACAAGATTCATTTATAATTCCTTGTGCTTTAAACTTTTAAACCCAAAAACTTGTTTTACTAATTACTCTTAGGCATTAACCTAGGTGCTAAGCATTATCGCAACACCAGAGGTGTTACATGGGATGCCCCATGCGGGTTATGCCGATGCCGTCACAAACAACGGACACGGATCCCACTCGAACATATCCGATAGGAGCTCCCTGGACCCGTCACTCGAGCCATCGAGGTAACTTTACCAATCCCCATTCTACTTTCCCAGTGCATGAGCATTCATTCATCCATCCTCATACATTCATCCATACATTCATCCCATACATCCAAGCATTGCATGTGTAATTGTTGTATCACAACTCTTCGCGTCGCGTCTCAAAGCGGTAGTCGTCTCATTCGATATGATCGATGACTGACCGGGGTTCGAAGGTCAGCCTGCAAAGGGCTCAAGGCTGCCTCGCGTCAAACAGAGCCAGAGGAGAAAACACAGATGAGCCCAAGCGGCCCTCACCCGATCCCCTCAGAAGCAGACAAAGTCATCTCGACCTTCTCGTTTGATCCTAACCTCGAGCCAAGCCCACAGAATCTCCATCGAGGGGAGGCCAGCAGGCCACCTGAGTCGGTCTCCAAAATGACTTAGGCATCTGTCGGGATGTGGGTTAAGGAGCAGTGGAATGCCACATGAGGGCTATGCCGACCCCGTCACGAACGACGGACCCGTATTCCACTCGAACATGCCTGTTAGCGAGCTCGCCGAGCGCGACACTCGAGCCATCGAGGCAAGTGTCGTTAGTTCAACCCCTCTGGTTGCGGAAACCATGGACGGGATGACGCATAAAACTCAGCCGACCCCTACTGAGCCCAACGGGGCTCGGGGGCTCGAGCTGCCAGGTCCCTACTTAGGAACCTGACCGACCACGCAGGTTGCTGTCAGAACGGACACGGGCGAACGCCCCAACCGGAAAGAACATAGGAGTTCGCAGCCCCAGAAAATAGTACCAATGTGCTCAGCCTTCGACCGACTCTCCAGCTAGTTGCAGGCTCAGGGGCTACGCTCACCTCCGTCTCGGTTGACCCTTGGGTTCGCGCTCCGTCTAACCCGACCCCTTGGCCACACCGCGGGCTCCGTCACGCCTGACCCCAATGCCACGCCGCGGGCTCTGTCTCGCTCGATGCCTCAGGTTCACAATTTGTCTCATCCGACGACGACCCACAACCTTACACCCATCGGGTGTGCTCGTGAAACGAGTGTAAATAGCCCCTTCACGACTTTATAGAAGTCCCAAAGGGGCTCGGGGGCTCCTATCGGGTTTATAAACCCGTGGTCCCCAATGGACCTGCTTCCCAACAAAACCTGGCCCAGCAGGCAGCGCAGCGACAACACGCATCAGGGCTGGCCCAGATACATAATGACAGGCCTGGACAACGATCCGGTCCCCGACCGGAAGGCCTAGCCAAGGTGGGACTGTAGTCTGGCTCCGACCTCCTTCTTTGATCGAGGATACGCTAGACCTCTGCTCGCTGCTCTTTTTCGACCAACACGGTCAGGACCGACTAGGAACGACTGACCAGGGATGCTCGCTCGGTGAGGGCCCGGGGATCAGGCGGAGCAGATAAGGTAAGGCGCTCAAGTCAACTGTAATACCGAGGACCATACCCTGCCATGCCCTATGCACCTGCAGGACGGTACCACCAGGCCATGCTATACAGCCACTATACAACGTTCCAAACGCGTCAGAGCACAAACAATATTGTAGGCGCCGACATTTGCCATACCAGGCGAACACGGTAGAGTCTGCCAGATGCGTCTGAACATAAACAATATTGTGGGTGTCAATAACTGTCTCGTACCCGACAGCGTGGGCAACAAGACTAGGTACCACATGTATACACACACACTCTCTCTCTTTCTGACTTATAAGGCCATCTCCTTCAACTATAAGAAGGGATGAACTCTCTCCTAATTGCTGGCTCTCTCGGGAGAAATGAGGCTAGACGACTCGAGTACTCGATGACCTGAGGACTCGAACAGTTCAGCAGCTCTAGAACTCGACAGCTACACAGAGCATACGCTCCAATACTTAGTGCACGTTAGAGCACCCGTCACTCTCGTCCATTCGGTTTAGAGTCCGACCGGACCTCTAACACCACATTCTCATTTCTCACTCGTTTGTAACCCCACAGCAAACTTCGAGCACCTGGGCTCAGGAATAAAGTCACCGACCGACTGAAACTGAATATAGGGCACGTTGCCTGAACCAGTATAAATCCTGTGTCATTGAGTGCTAGGCCCATCCGATCACAACGCACGGCAAAACTACAAATATTTACTTATTGGTCAAATTTCGCACTAACAAGTTTTTTATAGCTTTAGCTTTACTTGTTAGAAAAATGTTCGGTAAAACAGCTTCTCCTAGCTGTTGAAAAGAGTCAAATGTCCATCATACCTTTTTTTCCTTCTCTCTCTCCATCTTTTATTCCCTCCCACATGGCCACGCAGAGGAGGAGCCCCGCACCAAAGGCCAAGAAGAGCACGAGCCCCACAACGGAGGCCAAGAAGAGCACACCTAGGATTCAATGTGCCTGATGCATTGATGTTCGCATCGCTACTGATCCATGAGCAGGTGTGGCCCTATGTGGCCAGAGCTCCTCTCCCGACCCACATCGCCGTTGCGCTATGCAACGCCGGCCTTGCCTCGTCAGGGCAAATCGGGCATCTCCTGCTGGCCAGACCTAAGTTATCAAGAGAGTGCCGGTTAAAGCTATTATTTTCCGCTTCTCCTGTCTCTCCTCTCTTCTCTCAACGTGATTCGTGGGGAATCTCCACTGAAACGGAGCAGCCGGAGGGCGTTTGGTTGGCGTTCATGCGAAGCTGCTCACGGAGCGCTACCAAACACGTCCAAGTTCGAAGCATTCTTACCCTTTTTCTAATGGAGAAATCATCATTATCTATACATAGAGGACTAGTGGAGTAGGGCGTGTAGCGAGCACCCAAAGAGACCAAGCTTTTAAAATTTGAGCCAAGAAGTTTGTGGCATCCAGCACACCATTTCTATCGACGACGGTAAGGTTTTATATATAATTATATACACAACATTGACAACAAGGAGTCGAGGACGATGCGGCCAGATCTCCTTCAAGTGCTTCTTTTTTGTTGATATGTGCTGTGATTTGGCTTGAAAGTGATTCGTCCATGCAGAGACTACATACATGCCTCACTAATTTTTTGTTGTTTTGTGCTGCTTTGGTCCTCTTTGTGTGTTGTTCTTGATTTGAATGTGTGAATTGGCTGGAAACAAAAAGGGTCCGAGTTCAGTCGTGGCCGGGACCGAAACCGAACTACCCGAGACCGATCAGTTCACGATTTCTGGTAACCGAAGTTTCATAAAAACCGAGGAACAGGCCTAGCAACGAAACACGTCCAAGTTCGAGGCATCATTACCCTTTTTCTAGTGGAGAAATCATCATTATCGATATGGAGTAGGGTGTGTAGCGCGCACCCAAAGAGACCAAGATTTTAAAATGGGAGCCAAGTAGTAGCCCTGGGCAAATTTTACCGAGAACCGAACCGAAAAAACGAGAACCGACCGAATTTACCGAGAACCGAAATCTCGGTTCCCTGTTCGGTTCTCATTTCGTAGGAACCGAACTTTGTTCGGTTAATTCGGTTCCTCCCCTCGGTTAACCGAAAAAACCGAGGAACCGAGCCTCGTCTGCTTCTCCTTGAGAGTTCCCCGAGCCGCCTCCCGTTCCCGTCCAGTTCTCCACCTGCGGAACTGAAAAAACCGAGGAACCTGCGCTGCGCCTGGCCGACTGTGGCTTGCAGGAGTCCCTGCGCTGCACTGCACCTTGGTTCGGTTAGTTCAGTCGGAACCGGAACTGAACCGAACTAACCAAAACCGAATTCGGTCGGTACCGATTATTCGGAAGAACCGAGCAGTACCGATGTCCCTGGTAACCGAAGTACCGAGTAATCGGTTCGGTTCGGTTCGGTAATACCGAATGCCCCGGGCTACCAAGGAGATTGTGGCATCCAGCACACCATTCCTATCGACGGCGATAAGGTTTTATATATACACACAGCATTGACAGCAAGGCTGCAAGGCATTGGGTTAGCAGGGCAGGGTATAGCTGGGGTAGGCGGCGATGGATCCTGGCATGGCGACCGGCGGCGGCGGCAGCATCCCGGACGTCCACAGCAACACCGACAGCAGCAACAAGACGCTGCTCAAGAGCCAAGCCCTGTACAAGGTAATGTAATCACGCGACAAGCCGACAACCAGTACAATTAAGGTCGCTGACCGAATGATCATGGCACTGACGTCGTCGCCGGCGGCTGATCGCCGTGCGTGCGTGCGTGCAGTACATCCTGGACACGACGGTGCTGCCGAACGAGCCGGAGTGCATGCGCGAGCTGCGCCTCCTCACGGACAAGCACGAGCGGTACGTACGTGCTGCCCCGGCCGCCGAAGCAGCTTTATGCAGAGCTCCTGCTCTTCTTCTCGCTCTGTAAGACTGTAACCTGTGCGTGTGAGTGTGATCGCACATCGCAGGAGGTACATGGCGACGCCCCGGACGAGGCGTAGCTGCTGCGGATGCTGATCAAGCTGAGCGGCGCCAGGAACGCCATCGAGGTGGGCGTATTCACCGGCTGCTCGCTGCTGGCCACGGCGCTGGCGCTGCCCGACGACGGGAAGGTGGTCGCCATCGACGTGAGCCGCGAGTACTACGAGCTCGGCCGCCCCTTCATCGAGAAGGCCGGGGTGGGGCACAAGGTGGACTTCCGTGAGGCCCCGCGCTGGAGCGCCTGGACGCGCTGCTCGCCGACGACGCCAACCACGGCGCCTTCTGACTTCGCGTTCGTGGACGCCGACAAGCCCAACTACGTGCGGTACCATGAGCAGCTGCTCCGCCTGGTGCGCCTCGGCGGCGCCATCGTGTACGACAACACGCTGTGGGACGGCACCGTGGCGCTGCCGCCCGACGCGCCGATGTCGGACCTGGACCGCCGCTTCTCCGCCGCCGTTCGAGACCTCAACGCTCGCCTCGCGGCGGACCCGCGCGTCGAGGTCTGCCAGCTCGCCGTCGCCGACGGCGTCACCATCTGCCGCCGCGTCGTGTGATCGATGACATGACACGACATCGCCGGCCGGATTCGATCAGCCGTGCGTGCGCGGCAGTGTAGATGTGAATAAGGTGGTCTGGCCCTGGGCGTCTGGGTGTTGCAAGCTGAGAGCAGCAGACGTTCACGTCCTGCGCCTCGGCCTTTGATCAATGCATTGCTGCTAGCAAATTGTTATCATAATATCATCACGGTCTATTAATATAGCTGCCCAGCCCAACAAAGGATTCCAATGTTGTTATGCACAAGCACAATTTCCAATGGGTTACTATGCACAATCTGCAGGTTGGGGCATGCCAGTTTCTGCATCTCCGATCAGGACCAGTGCCAACATCAAACCCTTCTTTTCTGCTGGTCACAATTTGGTAGCGGCAGAAGAAGGCAGTCCGGCCCAGAAATAGGTGCTTGGATAAACTGGATAGTACTAGTAGGTTCCGACCACATGAACTTATATCAAGTAATGGAAGCGACGCCGAAAGGAAATTGCCCAGAACGGTTGAATTCAACGGTAGCTCGTTCGGGCACTGGACACCAGGGCTTGCATTCATAATATTCCCTTTGTATGACCTCCCTCCAACCCACTATCCATATCTTTGTAGATGGCCTGTTGATTTTCAATTCAAATTATACTTTTAACTTTCACTTCTCTTATATTTGAGGTCACTAATGTAATTTTGTCATTGCTGGACTATATATAGAAAAAAGTTATGAATTATCATTTTATAATTGTATAATGCAGTAGCTGGTTCTTGGTTGTGACTGAAAATTCAGGCACCTGAAACATTGCAACTCCCTTTAATTTCTGGATGGAGCACAAGACTGGCATGCAAATCGCAATCCATGTATATATCAATTGCATCGTATGTATATATTCCGTTGCTTACATGGCTGGTCCTGAGTTTTTTAGACCTAGAACGAAGTTAAAATTTAGGCCCTTTTATATAAAAATATGATAACGATAATACTACTAGTACCATTCATTGCTAGTATATATATATCCACACATATACGAAATGTTACAAATAAACAGTTAATTGAATGCAAAAGCAAAGTCTATATCAAGTAAAATTTAGAGAAACAATTAGTCAAAAATTAAACAATTATACAAATAGAAAATTCACAAAGACTAAGCAATTATACACTACCTTAGGGAGTCAAAGTGCCTAGCACATTGAATATTTGAATACTCAATTAAATCACAATTTGCAAATCCCAATTCGCAGGTCTTTGAAATCTGAAGCACGCCCTATGATTAGGGAATAGGGAATTAGGGATCATAAGAGATAGGAATAGGACAGAGATTGATTCGTACCAATGCGGTTCAGTGCATCACGTTCAGCTTCAGAAGTTCAGTCGTATGCAGATGATCTGCTGCCTGCCTCATCACGTCCTATGCAGATGATCTGCAGCAGATCACGCCAACGTGCGGACATGGAGAGCGGTGCGGCGGAGCGAGCAGTCGCGCGGACTGCCCGGCCGGCGGGCGGGCGGCGACTCGCTTCGCTGGGTCGCTAGTCACGTAGAAGGAAAGGAAGTCCAACCGTAAAACTCCAAGGAAAGGAAGGGGCGCGAGTGCGCGACTCACGCGGATGCTGAATGCGTATCACCGGTGTCGTCGATTCATTGGACTCTGCTCTTGCGTATGTTTGGGCTGTGTAGTACTAGTACTGTATGCATACCTGGGGAGGGGCCCATCGGCAACCTGGGCCTGGGACGCCTGCCCCTCCCGCCCCGCCCCAGGGCCGGGCCTGTTGCTTATTACACTCCACCGGAAATTCCGTTATGCTTCGAGCCCTAGTCATCATGGATAGATATATTCTTCTAGACCAAATAATGACGTAAACGAATAATCACTTTTTCCCTGGCTTGATTATTCCATCTCGCGTAGATACCTCTTTATTATGATCATTCATCAGTATACAGAATAGTAGGATTCTCATCTCCTCCACTTCTGCACACTGCATTTGCCAAAACTGATTAAAACTTTGCTCACTTTGTTTCTTATACCCAGTGTGTCAACATTCAACAACATACTTTATATACAGTACGTGGCGGAGCCAGGAATTCTACGTGGGAGGGCCAGCCAAGTACAATCATAATTGAACTAAATAAAAAGTGATTAATCAAACAAAAATGATTTTATAAATTATCGCTAAGTTAC